GATTTTGATGTTAAGTTTCGTGTGCAGTATCCAAGAGCTTATGTGGATGTGTTGTTGTTTGTGTTGAATTATACGGGTAATTTTGAGCGTAGTCACAATACGTCCATAAACGTCCTCCTCGTCCACGGCCGCTGGACGATGATATCCACTTGCTCCCTCCACCGTCTTTAGACAAGGACGTTTATATGCGTAAGTAAAAATAATAAGATAGTAAATAGGTTTATTACCCTGAAACTTAATCTCATTATGGTTCAGGTAGTTGTCAGTACCAGAAAATATTTCGATCCTTTTTATAACGGTTGAGCATGCAAGGTTTGTTTGCTTTGTATTTTTTTGGTTCCCCTGATAATTTACCCGACACTCCCTACGCGTTTAATTAGGGCATAATTATCCGTTCTATTCTTTTCGTTTTTTTTTGTTTTTTATTAGTTTATTTTTGCTGCGTATAATTTGGCATGCATGTAACGTTTTATTTAATGACACATGGATATTAATCGCCCGAAACAAACCTGTGATTCTCCTTTAGAGTTTATATTTACGCCACTAATATAACAAAAATGCACCCCTATTACGTTAACAAATAATGTGGGGGATGCTAAACAACAATAATCCATTGTTCACGTATTAGAAACTTTATCGATTGGTCTATTTCCTACTTTCTTGAGAACAGCAAACAACTATTATATAATCATTGAACGCCAAAAGATTCTAAATAATCTATTATATTATGAGATAAGTGTGTTGGGTTCCCGTGCCTTTTTCTTTTACGGGCAAACTTTTTATAGCTGTATTTCATGCAGCTTTGGTAGTAAACGTGTAAATTTTATATACATGCATGAAAGCTATGTCCCTTGCAAAGAACTACATATTAGTTAATACGTTTTATATTTTATAGCCCCCAAAATATATTCACAAGCGGATGGATTTAATTATAAAAATACTTGTCAATAGTATATACGCTTATCTCATCCTATCACATTGTCTCCACACAGTATAGACACACTTACATAATACACAGAATGAATTGACATTCTGCTGTGTGACAAATGTGACTCGTATCGATCTGATCGAGTTGTTGATACAGATCACGAGAACCCATAATCTATTATCATTCCATCGTATTTCTCTATCGTATATTCCAAATGATACTACGCTGCATGTAAGGATCGCTGGCTATAAGGACCGATTTTGCTTTGCCGAGATGGTTCTCATAACAGAGTTTTCCCGAAATACATCTTACTTATTAACAATCGGCCCATAGCGATAAGGTGAGGAGGTCATGGAGACGTAGCATATGTGTAGGATAATAAGTAAAAAAATGTAGCGGTGGGGGCATTAACAGAACAATCAAGAACAAAGAATATTTTCTCTTTTACAACGTTAAAGAATAAAGCTTCATCGCTTATTATTCAAACTCGTATTATTCCAACAGGGAAAAAGGCGTTTGCAAATTACAGGTGACATAGGTGAGTGAGATAGATGATAATATACGTTTATAATAATACTTACTATAAAGTTATACGGTATCAATGATAGTTACAGTATCTCGGGGATGTATCCGAGGTGGAATACAACAAAGGTCTGTATAAAAATAAGTACAGAAAACTGAATTAGTATTTCACTATTAATTTGATACTTTCATCCAATCATTTCGTGTACTAGATTTACAGTTATGGAAATTAGTGCAGATGGATCATTAGTAACCATGTATACAGTATGTATTATTATAACCCATGTAAGAATCCATCGTCTTATTCTAAAAGTAAACGATCACAAAACTCCAAATCAAAAACATTATTATTAAATACAAGGTGTGAGTGAGCGTATTAGGGGGAATAACAAAAAAGCACAGTGAACGAAGAGTAATGCAATATAAGCATTATGGCTGAATAAAATCCAACAATCTGCATTCAGTTGTAAATAGCAATTGGTTGATATATCGCTAGATTACTCACAGTAAAATTTTTGTGTAGTATAATAATAAGTCGTAGCGAAACGGTCGAAAATGCAAGTACTATGTAATGTAACACATATTATACATTCACCCATTGCTGTAAAGTCACGCGTTCAGCAAATAAAGCCGCACTTTATGGATACATTTATTTAATAATATGCGACGATGTTACTTTATTTAAGATTCAACAAACATATAGAAGATGATTATGTAATGTAGTCGTTCCATCTTGATTATGTGTCTCAGATCTTCTGTCTTCATTCTTCTACAGATTCTCCTTTTCTTGATCATGATTACACAAATTATAACGTCTCATGATTGTGTCACTTCACGTGTCCATGTGCATACAATAATAAAGAACGCAAAACTCCATGTGTATACAATACGTCATTGTAAATAAAGGTCATACTTTACAAGACAATGCCCATTTGCTGAAAGACATGTAAACTAATATCAAAAACAACACATCGTAGAACGCAAGTTCCTGTTCGACTTTTATATTGCTTTACCCTGCATATTGATATATTGATGGAAGATCATTACATCAATCTTGCATAACGAAAATTAAAGAAAGATCAATTACGTAAACAAAATAAATGAAACACATGACCTACTCTCACTCAGTCAAGGATCTCAAAAGCAGGCCCGCCTACACTATACATCACCCAAGAATGTTACATTAAAGACAAAGACTGTTTTGCTTGAATTGATACTCGTTAGCAGATAGGTGAATTTGTTGCTGTGTACTAACGACGACAACATTTTGAGGTGACATGTCCCACTGACTGATATGTCATGCTTGTAATAAATCAGGACCAATCACATCGCAGAAATTTTGGGGTACGAAAAGTGACGCAACAACATGTGCATATGACTGGATGCTAATGCGGCATTTAAACAACTGTTATTATTGATCACAACCTCCGAACATTGTGCTCCTAAATGCTGACAATAAGGAGAGACAGGTACATGACAACCACCAAACTACTATTAAACTACTACACACCATCATTAATCAAATCATATCTACTAACATAAAACCGTCACTTTGTAATAGTACGTTGAAGGTTGCAAAATAACTCTATCATTATATCATATATCCAAGAGAACTGTTCATATTAAGTTCTTCAAATTGTCGCTTTGTACGTACGAAACTGAAATAAACATTATCTTTGTGGAATACTTATATGTCTGTCTAAAATTTACCGTTAATACAATATACGCTTTCTACTGTATGAAGACATTGAGGATATTGTTCTTCACGCTGCCAAATCACGAATTCGCTAGACCATTGATGTGAAATTTGTTTATTGTAGTCGCCGAACGGCGTATTGTTGCGAATGGGTAAATAAGATGTTCCTGCATCATTTCTACTGGAAAAAGTGTTTAATTTTTGAGACGGTTCGCCATTTTATTTGAAAGACCTTACTTCGTAGATAGCACTGTACCTTCTGAATATAGCTAACCGAATCTGTGAACGACTAGCCTTATTACTATTACTATGGTCAGAGGGCTGCAGTTTCCATGCCATGCTCCATATTTTAAACTATATTTGCACTGTGAAACTTGCTACCCAATCATGAAGAAGACGTATCACTCAAAATCATGTGACTGCCCTTTTTTTTCGCCATTAAAAATGACAAACAACTAACATGTCTTTTAAGAAGCCGAGAAACACCTTCGTGTGTTTGGTAGGTGGATGGTTACCAAGAAGCTGAAAAAATATGCCTTGTGTATGTTTCGGAAGTGGACGGGTACCGGACATTCAGAAGAAACACGCCTCGCGTGTCTCTAGGATTACGGTCAATACGGCTCCCTTATTCAGTAAGGCTGAGACCGGACTCGTTGGCTCAAGAGTATAAATGTAGCTACTTGTAATATCACTTTCCTGGGAGCTTTCCTTTCCTTACATGCCATACATAGTATACCGCGCAGCAGCAATAGGTTCGGATGGAACTGCCACTTTATGAAAAGTCTCCGATCAAGAATATTGCTGATATAACTTGGCTTGGTAACTCATCCATTCCGCAAAAAAATGCAACACCGACCTACTCTTTTTTGTATGAGTTAGAAACTTATCACTTAATGTTTTTCTAGCATCGAACCCAATCCGCAACTCGGGAATTATGTGCTCTTGACAAAATATATTACATTGAAAACGAATGGTAATATTGGTAAGTAATTATTTAGCTTCCAATCATTTTTGAATATATTATCAGATTAATTCATGCAAAGTATTAACTGCCGATACTCCCATTATATTAAAGGCTGAAGATCCGACGAGTCATAGACTTGGCAACTATGTAGCTCTCATAGTCGTGTAATTATAATATCGTTTATATAGTTCTTGTTATTTATAACGGGTTACATCCCGAAACCTTGTAATTACGTCCTTTTAGCATAGAATAAACCATTTATTTGTTTCTCAAATACCTAGAATAAGTAATATGTTACTCCGCAATCAGCAACACAAAGAGAACATACTGACTAAGAAAATAAATTGTACGATCCATAATGTTCACGTTATGTTCAATAATCTCGGTTTTGCATAAATATTACGACAATTGGTAATCCGAGCACACTCTTCGCTTGATCATGCAGTCAATATTATTGAAGGCGATTTATTGTTTATCATAGTATGGCAGTGCTCAATAGATCAACTAAGAAGTAAGAGTCTACAACACTGATTATTCATATATTCCCTTCAAAAATCCTTAGCAATGTGTCCAAAGAGCGTTCATCAAATTAAAGTTAATAGGGTCAGCTGAGACAGAACCACTATCCCAGATATGGTCTTGACTGGGATCGCTGCTGGGGCTCGACATCCATACTGCGCCAACCCAAATATCCGGGCCATCTGGTGGACCAAAGGTGTTTTGGGATGGCTGTATCTCCTGCGCTGCACGGAACCAGGCATTGATGATTGTTTGGCCTTCACGGGCATATTTAGTGAGCAATCTGCCTTCGTCAGTGTTGTCATAGGTGACGGATGCGTAACCAAGCAATAGATGAAGTCCACCTCTGAAGGCAGGTTCCCAGCGAAAGACATCACCTCCACCGGGACTAATTATGTCGTCTTGAAGCGGGCCGCAAGCAGCGATGACCAGCCATTCAAGATCTCGATCGAGCAAACCAATTTCGTTAAAAGTAAGAAAGCTATTCCCACCATCGAGCTCCCAGCCGTCCTTATTGGCATGACCGGTATAGAATACAAAGTCAACGTTATCTATCCAGTCATCATTGTCGGTTGTCCAGTCCGATTTAAAGGCGTTAAAGTCGCCCCAGTTGAAAGAGATATCCCAGCCATCATCATAGAGACCATTCACGAAGCCCAGGGCATTGTCGTGACTACCGCCTAGTCCACCAGATTCGCCAATCCACTCGGTACCACATGTGAGTTTATTACGACGGTTTATGCGTTTCTCATTCTCAGTTTCATTATGCGAGCGAGATTGCTGAGGGGTTTGTTTCTTGGGAAACGGAAAGAAATGTGTGGCTGGCAAGATCACCTGGCGCAATGGAACATGTTTACCGCTGACCATCAAGGTGCCGTCGTAAACATACACAGGGTAGAGATGTTGCTGCGTTTTTGACGACGGTGCCGAAAAGTATGCGAGTGAGGAGGTGAAGTTGACCAGCTTTTGATTCTTGAACTTATCGAGGAAAATTTTGTCAGTCTCCTTCTTTGGGATAATTTTGACCTCTAAATTTTTTTTTTCAGGTTGGCGCCATACACCGTTAAATCCGATAAGGCGACCTGCTTCTCCAAGGACGAATTGGAATTTTGCTCCACCGCCAATAATCGGAATATGAGGTTTATTGGGGAGATTGACTGTTATTCTATAGCTTGTTCTCGTATCGAGCTTGTGTGTTATGCGACTACCATTTACAGTTGATTGTTGACCAAGAAGACTTCCGCTAATTTTCCCAGATACCAACTGGAACGGTTCGTCCTCGTCGAACTTTGGCAGCAGCGTATGGTTATGGATAAGATTATTGATAATTTCAAAGGCTTGTTCATCGCTCACAAGTTCCGGTCGAATTGAAGTGTTCCATAGGCTTGCCTCGTCAGCGGTCCAGATTCCTCCACTGATCGTGTCGACCTCGACGACATGTGAACCGGAGCGCAAGATGATGCGTGAATCAATATACTTGATGGTGTAGTTTGAGATGCCGTACAGGCTGCGGGCTAGGTCGATGACTCGATCCTCGTTTATTCCGTCCGGGCGATGCAGGCGGAAGACAGGAAGTGTCTCATCGTCTTGATGTTCATGGCGTCTGATGACATTGTTCTTGTGGTTATCCGCTTGGACTGCGAAAGTAAGGAATATCAGAAGAGTAACACAATCAATACAGTGAATTGACAATCAATTACTAAATTAGAAAAGATAAACATTCTAATACTGCTTATAAGTTACTTCTCTGATACCTACCGGCTGCGTGCGCGACATGACTTAATAGACAGAAAATTGCGAATAAGAGAATAATAATCGCTGGTTTGGAAGTCATTGTTTAAATGGTTTGTTTAAATGTGAGGGCAAACGTTTATATAATCCGCGAAAAAAACTTGGAGTTGCACACTAGCTTGATGTCGCCTTCCCGAGACAGTCCTACTCTATAACTACAAATATGCATAGAACTTTCGATTTTCTACGAGTTGCTGCCAAAAAAAACTCCAAGTTTATTTTCAGAACTCATTCATTGTCAGACAAGATCATTAATTCAACCGATAAGTTTTCATTCATTTGAACTTTGCATATTCTTTACAGAATTTAATGTACACAGTGAAATTCACTTTAACAAAGACGATTTGCTTCCTTAACCTGAAAGTTCGTTTAAGTAAACTGTCTTTTTATATGAAATATAGGAATCCGTTCTGGAAAGAACTTCATTATAAAGCGATCTTCGTTAAGGTGAATTTCACTGTGTATAATATTTCTAAAAAGAAGTAGTCAACCATGACGTTAACGGTAAATATGGCAAGTGGAATGCACTTGTGTAAAAATAGACAAATTGATAAACACACTTAGTAAACTGATATATTTAGCGTATATGTAAAGCAGAAACCGGCTGGCGGCGTTTTAACGACAAAAATATATACGATTATCTGTTTTAAGCATTTTCATACTGCCTTAAATGGAAGTAGGCTGAATCGATTGACATACAGATTTGGCCAATGTAATTGCAAGGATCAGTTCACGTTCTACTCCGCTTTAGCCACCCGAAAAGCCTCAGTAGTGAATCACTTTTTTTTTTTTCAGGCAACATGAACCATGCATATTCTCGCATCAGAATTTAATGTAGTTGTTATGATGAGAGAATTAGTACGCGACTTATTAGGTGGCAAGTCCTGCAAATCGCGGGCTTCCAGGAATTATAATATACTATTATAAATCGTTTAATAGTCAAACTGTCTTATTATTATTATTATTATAGATTTAACATTAGTAGATATAGTTAAAGGTCTCGTACGAAGAGCACGCTCTCCCACGTGTTGACTTGACAATTAATATTAACGCATTAGTATTGGTGTTAGTATTATTATATTAATATTATATTTTTTATTAATGTTCATCATGAGATATGACGACTGATCTATGAAAATGGTGCCCAAATATAAACGACCAATAATCAATGAGTAGACATCTAATTTCTGGCGGTCTGGGACAAGTTATATCGTTATAAAAATTATCGGCAAATCTTTCTTACTTCATTATACAGATACTGTATGTCTGCCTGACTCGTAAGTACGGGCAGGAAAAGAACCGTAGCGTCGCTTATTATTTTTATTATTATTATTATTATTATTATTATTATTATTGATTTGGGGTACAGATTTGACTTTGTAACTGCTGTTGTGAAAAACTTTACTTATGATTATGTTTGAGGTCAGGAAAAAGGCACAGGGTAGGTAGCATCCCCGGGTATACAGTAACGTGCAAAAGTATCCTACCGGTTGTATCATCTAAACGTACATAATAATAACTCCTTAAATTTTCCAG